CAGAAAGAAATGAGGAAAGGAAAAGACTTGAGAGATCTGAAGACAATTGCCGCTAGCACTGATAATCAGAGATATTTTTGTATCAAAGATGGACTGATTAGCATGGATCATATAAATAGAAAACGCTATGAAACTAGTGTTTATGAGATGTCGGAATCAGATGAAACATCCATTTCGTCATCACCATCGTTAATTGGTCCATCGTCTTCGTTCCAAGCAACAGTGTATTTGAGGGCTTTCTGTCGCACGTCCAGATGACGACTTTGTCGAAGTTGACGAAGAAGAAGTTGGCATCGTTCTCGGTCCGCATTCGCTTGAAGAAAGACTTTTTTGGTGAGTAAATCGAAGACGAACGATTCTTGATGCTGCTCGCGGACGAACCATTCTACCAGGTCAAGTTTTTCCTCACCACTCAGTTGTTCGACAAACGAACAGAAACGATCGGTCTTGCCGAGCTGGACCCCTAGCTTGGAGATCAGTCGCTGAGCATAGGAATCGCCTAGAAACTCTTGCAGATGAACGAGGACGGCATTCAACTCTGTCCTGTTCTTGGCCAAGCCGATCAGAATGCGTCCGACGATTGGAGCAAACGTCAGATCGAACCGAAGAGCGAGATCAGCAATGGCATGTAGAGATTCTTCGCTCTGTGTTCGCAGTTCATCGATGTGCGCGCCCAGTAGATCAAGTAGACGATGAACACGATGGTAGACTGGTAAATCGTGTCGAGCATCAATGGCATTCTGAGTGTCGTCTAGTTCCTGACGATGGGTCATGATTGCTTGGACCAGATCCACCAGGAGATCGGGTGACGATCTATCCCGAGGGAGATTTGAAACGCGTCGATAGGCAGCGATGATCCTTTCAAAAGCGGCTCCAGAACAGGTATTGACATTTTTATCGAATTGGACGCACAATTCCTTGGCTTTGTGAAACAATCGTCTGACATCACAATGATTATAATCGAAGCGGGACCAAGCATAGAGTCTTGCATCTAACCTGCTCGGATGGTCGAAGACGCGAAATTGAATTCGATTGACAAATGTTTGAAAGAGACGATTATCGGAATTGACCAGACGCATCAACATCCACGGCGACTCACGTGGCGTACGAACAAAGCGCGCTTTCTTTTTTCGATTAACGTAATCTTTAGAGAGTACCCGCGTTCGATCCTCTTGTCCTCTCAAGAGAAGTGACAGCAAAGATTCAATTATGATCGACGTTCTACTGATAATACTTCGGAATATTACTGATCGTTTCACCTTGTTGTTCACCCTTACCCTCAAAAACCATCATCTCGATTGAATACAATTTTTCGGGTATGGGTATGATTGATTGCAAAAATGTATCAAAAGTAAATCATCATGGAGAGTAAGGACAACAAAGAACACTTTCTCCCATGTTCAGCTTTGATGAGCGAATGAATCCATGGGTAGCATATAATGGTTCTGGAAACATGAGAATCCTTTCGATTTAGTATTGCTTTTCTGAAGCAAAATGTTTTTTGATTTAACCATCTACTGAAGCAGTGCATAGACCAAAAAGGTCTACTCGTAGGATGAAAAAACTTTTGGTACCGCGAATTTACAGTTCTAGTCCATTTCGTTGTGCGTAATGCTGAGTTACTCCTGAGGAATTACTTGGATCACGAAACATTAGATATCGAGTTTTTTTACTAGTACACAGATTACTTCCGACTGTAGCCTATCTCACTGGATCATTTGAATCGAAAAATAACTATCA